TGTCGCCATTCTGCATAATGGCCTGGAGGGCTTCGGGCGGGGGGTGTTCTCCGCCAGGGTGAAGGAGCACCTCTCGTGGAAAAATCGTCCGCACGATTCGACCGTCCACGTTCATGGTCGCGCTGAGATACCCCGGTGGAACAGCCTGAATGTCCCACAACAGGGTTCCGTGGTCGATGCTCTCGCCGTCGCCGCGAGCGCGAAAGGAGCGCACTGCTTCCACAATCGGCCCGATAGTAGTGTTGCCGCAAGTGCTCGAAATTGCATGCGAAAGAATTCCGATACCAATTCCGAGTACTCGGAATTCAAATTCAAGTATTTGCAATTCCAAGTAATCTAAAAATATTTTTTTAGATTTTCAAATACAATATTTGAAATTTAAAAGGCCGCAATTTGAATTCCGATTACTCGAAATTCAAAATGGGGCAATATGAATTCCGAGTATTCGAAATTTAAACTGCGGTAAAATAAAATCCGAATATTCGGAATTTAAACGTGACTTTTCTGGATTTCGATTTCTTTGAAATTTAATTAATACTAACAGAATAGACTGGAGTCATGATTATCTTACAGTAGACTGCGCGAGAATATCTTGCAGAATACTTTCGACCACTAGTTATGGCAAAACTGGAAATTGTACGGTTTTTCAGTTCATTTCTCGAACATACGTCTACGTACGTCGAATTCATCATTTCTTGAGATGGTGAATTTAAGAAACAGAACCGACAGTTATTGTATCGTTTAGTTACAGAGCAATAGTCACAGCGAAACTGATCTGTATCCGCTGGGCAGATGCAACCGCCGGCGTACTTCCACCGTATGTGCTGCTTTTGCTGTGCAGTTATGACCTCTCAGCGTGGTTTACATTCACGGATTACGACCCCGCGATCTGGGAGGAGGCGCCAATGTGCCGGTTTCGATCATGGTTAAAAACCAGTGGCGCAGTTCGTCCTCCCGGGCGTAGCTGGCGTTTTGAATCTGCTTTCCAATAACAGGTCATAGGCAAAACGAGCATACAGTCATATTAGGCAGTTATTTCCTCCAGGTGATTGTCCGTAAACCGGGACGGGCTCGATGCTGATCTGACCCTTGCTCTCCAGATGCCAGATGGGCAAACAGGAAATGCCACTGTAGTTTCAGCAAGTCTGGGCATTTGACCCGTTGAATAGTAGATCCGGACAAGACCGGGGATGTCACAGCTGTACAACGCGCAAACATAGTGGTGCGTTAAACAATCCGTTAAACCGTTAAACGTGGACTGCACAAGGTTTTCTCCATGCATCCGCATGTGGAAACGTGGCCTTGGGAAGCACAGGTCGTTATTTTGGTACAGATCCAACTCTGCAGGAAGTTCTAGGCCGCCTTTCTGAGGAAATTAGATTGAGCAGCAGATAGATCCATGCGTTAAGGAGTCTTAGCTGCAAATCCGAGCCGCTTGTTTTCGCCATGCTCATATCGTTCCTTTCTGCGGAGGGACTGTTTGAGTAAGCGGGAACCGGTGTGTCGGCAGGCTGGGGCATGGCTTGGACTGGTTGCGATGACGTTTGGGCTGTCTGATTGAACCGTTCATGGCGCCTTTCTTTCGACGGCCGACAGCGGGGCTTAATGGTTGCGCGAGGTCTGACTCTGAACGTCGTAAAATCAGGGGCGAAAACGTTGCTTACAGTAGGATGCTCTGGCTCTGGCAAATCGGCTTCTGCTGCGGCTTCGGGAATGTTCGGCTGCCCTGGTGACATCCATCACGCCATCCACAAGCTTAAGACGCACCATCGCCTGGCAGTAACTTTTCAGGGTTATCGTAATGCTTTTCTTTGTGGGAATTGAATTCCGCCGGTGTGGGCGGTAAGCGCCAGCTTTCTTTCACACCGGCTTCACTGAGCTGTAGGGGAACGTAAGGATGGTAGTATGACTACTATCCACAAGAAAGCCTTCCCCGGGAACGTGTCATGAAGCGGATGCGTCGTTGATGCTTTGGCATTGCCGCCAGGATTTATAACGACTTGATGCACTTGATGTGTTCGCTGGCTCCTTTGCTCCACTGTTTCCCACTTTAAGTTCTGACGCCATAACGGCTGAGAGTTGTGAAAAGTCAAATTATCAAAAAAATGTGAAACGCCGGTAAGGTCAGATTTTGGTTTTACATCACTAAAAGGTGACCTTGCCGTAATTGTTAGTTGCCCTGTCGTATTGGATACACAATTCAAACTTTTTTGTTAGTAGTTTTTTGTGCGGGGAAAAACTCCCGCGCGTAGTCAATACTCATAGCGCGAGATGCTCTCGCGCGTAGCCGAAACTCATAGCGCGGGAGGCTCGCGCGCGTAACCATAAACATACTATGTAATACTGAGAGTGAGGGCGATGTGAAACAGCAACGGTTATATGCACCCCTCCCGCCCAGGTTTGTTAATTATTTTAGCTACATAAGCACCCCTTTTTACACCATCTTTATTACTTACAGGTACCCATTTTAAAAATACTGTGATATTGCGTTATGTAACCATAGCACTGCATCGTCATTGTTATAATTATTATCAATTGAACAGTTGTTATGAACTTACGACCATGAAGCATAATAGCCAATGTTAAGCACAAAAAATGGCCAACCTTCTGAAAGCGGTGATGCGAAATTAAGAACATAGGTGGAAAAAAACGTTACCGTTTCGGATAGAGTTTCTCCTTTTTAACAGTAAGGAACATCCATATTCTAGCAACCGTATTTGGCCAGTGCACGGAATAACTGAAACTCCGCACGAGTAATTCTCGTGCATTCCGCAAGCATAGTAAATGAGGCCATATTTCTGACTAGCGCATTAAAAGCTGATCTGGATCATTTTTGTTTCTGAAAGAGCGGTATGTGAGCTACATTTAAAAGTTAACCGGCTTTTATCGTTACAACGTGTCATGCAGCCCACAATTTTAACCAAAAACACTCATAAAACCAAATAAAAAATCCGAATTTTTTGGGAAACAACAATACGAAAAGTCAGGCATCTTTCTCTGTTGGCTGGTATACGGCCAGTGCAGCGAACTATGGTGCGTAAGTTATGATTCATAGAGATAAGAACGGGTATGTTAAAAACGGAGCTGTGCAGCGCGGTATCTTGAATACGTGCGGTATGGTTGTTTTGACCATTCGGAGCGTAAAGTTCCGGATCGTGATGACACACGTTACCAGTCGTTATCTCCTGCGCATTATGCACAAAACCAAGTGGCGTCTATAGCCACATCTAGAGTTATGTAAAGCTTTAAAATCATCCACCATTCGTTTCCGGTTGGTACCACCGGCCGGCACTGCTGATGAAGTCTGGGTATATACAGCCCTGGGCGGTCAAGTTGGTGCAGTTTTAAAAATAAATTACAAGTATTTCCAACCCGGTTTTGCTTTTATTTTTACACTTTTTTTAGTGTAAAAGTAAAATACACAGGGATTTACATCCTGATGTACAAACAGGAGGAGCAATGCGGATGTAGAACAACGATACTTGAAGTGGTGCATTTGTATTTAATGCATTTCAGTTGCTGCTGTATCAGGTAAAGGTGAACTACATGTAACAAGTCGTCCTTCCCTCCCAATCACCCTCTTTTTGTGAAGAGCAGGTTATTTTAGCAAGGACGCCGGGGCCGGTTGCGCCGATGACCTGTGTTCCGGTGCTGGTGTCTTCACCCAATCCCCAAAGAAAAGCTGACCAAATTTTTATGCGTCGTCGTTGTAGTTGCCGCACGCAGCCGTTGACTGCGCTAACTTTGAGGTTTGAGTCAACATCGCTGGTCTTTACATTTGCGACGGTGAAAGCCAGAACAGGGGTAGCTTCAAACGGAAAACTATTTTTGTTGTAATTTTCGCTATGGAGAGTTTATTGTGCGCCGAACTGATAAATGTATATCATCGTTTAACAGTCAACACACCAGGCGGGTGCCAAATAGGCAAAGGCTCTTTCTTAATTCTCTAAGAAATTTCCTTTTGCTCCTACTTCCCTTAAAGTAATTATCGCAGTACAACTACCAGTTCCGTAGTTTGTAGTTTGATGGTACATTGTATTAAAATCCAAATTTTAAATAAAACTTTTTAAAACCAATTATTTAAAATTCATATGATATGCATTGCAATTCCGAATACTCGGAATTCTAATGTCGGAAATTAGATTTCGAATAATCGAAATTACAACAGCGTCCATTTAAATTGCAATTACTCGGAATTGGAATGCCTGCAATTGCAATTCCGATTACTCGGAATTCAAACGGTAGTGTATTTGAATTTCGAATACTCGAAATTCATTTTAGATTGGAGCACTTCCGGCAACATTACCCGATAGGCAGTTCCGGCTCGAAAATCTGACGCACAATTTAATCTTTAATTATTACTTATTCTTTTTATTTCACACTTAATTTCATCTTTAATTTTTATCCTTTAATTTTAAGTTGTTAATTTAAGCACAGTTTTTTTATTTTTATTTAATTTTATTGTAATAAGTTCTAATTTATTCTTTAATTTAATTGCGCAGAAACCAATCACATTACAGCACATAATTTTTAACTTAAAATTATAAACCTATTTTCCAGTAGAATTATCAAATTTTACAAAATAAATTACAAATAAAAAGTGGCGAAATAAAATAAAATGACCAATAAAATAAATACATGCCAAAAAATATACTCAGGACAGCCACATAAAATAAACAAAATGCAAAATAGCTAAAATGAAGCATAAAAGTGGCAAAATAAAATAAAATACAATGACATATAAAACTGCATACATAACAAAAATATAATAAGGATAACCACATACAATAAACGAACAACAAAATAACTAAAATGAAACATAAATAAAAACGAATTAGTTAAAAACGGATTAATTATTAAAGAACAAGATTAATAAAAATCGCATAAATTAAATGAATGGCAAAAATAACCAAAAATTCAGTGATAAGTATATCGGTTTTCATTAAAAATAAAGAAAAATAATCGAATGTAATCGAAACAGTACAAATGCGCAAACGTACCATCTGTACTTGATCAAAACCCTCAGGGGCGTCTGGGCTTATCGGCACGACGGCGGCCGGACCGGGGGCTGCAACAGGCGGCGGATGCGGAGGATTCATCGTTTGTTGATGAACACCGCCGATGAGCGAGCTTCTGGCCGTGCAGAGGAACAATGGCGATGCGAACCCTCACGATCGCAAAAACCGAAACCCTGCACACAAACCACACGATGAACCACTTCACAATCTGCCAAACTGTAGCCAGGCCAAAATGCATTAACCTACTTCCTAGAACAGCGTGAACACGCCCAGGGAGAATCCAAAAATTTAATTGGAGTAATCAAAGCCAGCAAAAACGAAGAACAATCCCCAAAAAAGCAGGAATTCTGCGCAGTTTTCACTGTTTTGCTGCTTGTGCCGTATCATTTACCATTACCCCTGTGAGCGATGGCTTCACTAGCGTTCACCTTCGTTCGGCTACGCAACGGATTACTGTCTGTGACGTGCCTCGTCTCTGATTGGCTGACGGCTGAAGCCGTTCATTGTTTGCGCCTTCGCCATGTGCGAGTGGGTGGCGCTTAATGCAGCCGAGAGCGTGCTGAATTTAGCTCTTAGATCAGTGTTGTTCAGTGTTGATTGACATTCATTAAAATTAGCATTAGCTGGACGAACGCCGTGTGTTTTCGCAACCCGTCGTTCATTTCTGATCTAATGGGATGGGATGGGATGGGATGGGATGGGATGGGATCAATGTTATTCACGCAGTTCGGTTCATTTTGTGGACTTCAAGCGTCTTGCTCAGTGGCAGCGTTTACACATCCAATCTGCACTAAAATCCATTGGAAGTTGTCGCTTTTCAGTGCCAAAGCGCAAGCCCAAGCACGCAAGTAATTTGAAATTAAAAATTTTAGCTTTTATCAGAAGGAAAGAGTAAAAGCAAACCACAGGAAGTGTGGACCATTATTATGATTAGGACTGTTATTGTAATTACGATGCAGAATTATATTCTATATGTTCCTCCTCAGGTTATTTGGTATCCAAGAATGTTTCTAATTTAACTGGCAGTGTGGAAGATTGTGTGAATGACAAAAGGTACCCCAACTGCCTGCATCGGCTTACGTAAAAATTCCTCTCGTTCGTGAGTTTTATTTGAGCCAGCTTTAAAATATGTTTTGCGCAAACCTTTTATGTTACACTTTCAGACCACGCAACGAAATCAGTACACAACCACTGTAGTTCGTAATGAAGTCACGAATCGCTTTTATCCTAATAAAACATGCTTAAAAAAACTCCAAAATATCTGTAAATTACCATTTCAATATGAAGTGAGCGATTCGACAGCACTAACATGAGCACTCGGGTTAACACTACGGCTGAAACTAACATCAGCATGCGGGTATATACTTTGGTTACAACAAGTGCTAGCACTCGGGTTAAGGGGATGGCTATGATGGCTTTAATTCTAAAATGCCGTTTTGCAAAAAGAAACGGCTATATAGATCGAAGACCGCTCTGTTAGATGGCAGAAAGACCGAAGTGACAGGATTGCGGGGTTATGAAATATGAATTTTTAAGTTAACTGAGTAAGCGGAGTAACGGTGGAAGCAGTGACTGGCTCGGCTCACCATTAGGGAACGCATATACGAGTTTGCGCATATTCAATGAAAGCAATGGGGAGCAAAGATTTGTGATCTACATCTTTTGTTTTACTGACAGCCATAAATCGAGCACTGGTCAGTGGAATGAAAGCAAACACCGAAAGACAATAGATTTTGGTCACACATAAGTGTGGTAGGAAGCGGACAGTCGCCTGTATGGATAGTCTCCTTGGTTTGATAAATGTGGTGGGCTGTAACAGTCAGCATGTACATGACTGATGTAAACTTACATGAACTTTCAAAGGTACCCGTTTAAAAAGCGGTCGATAAGCTTTGAAACATAACTAGTCATTTACGGAGCACATTTTTTATTACAAAAATCACACAGTCGGTGGGTGAACATCTCAGAAGTTTAATTGCGAGAGCGATTTTGAAAAAATTAAGTTTTACCGAAGTTGTTGCTGAAAGAAGCAACTAGAAAAGTGTTTATCGCTCTTTACAACTTTAAAATTTTGTTTTTTCAAAAAAGCTCTCGCAAGGTGCTGGGGGTTTTTATTGTACACTTTGTGACTAGACTTCCCCAAATCTCCCCTGAGTGTGTTCGGACTAGTTAGTTTTTTGGGGTGGTAACTTTGAGACCGATTTTAAAGTGATCGTTCGGTTTATGTCTGGGTTTGTTAGTACTGAATTTTTCCTGGATTTCACTATGTAAGTAGGTAGATTGAGAAACTGTTTAAGTTTTTGAATAACTATAGATGTTGCCCTTTCTAAACGAATTAAGTCAACATAGCCATAGCCTTAAGACTCTTGTTAAATTCAATGCACTGTGCAAACTCTTGGTAAATTAAGGGCTCAGGTGAAAGCATCGCTTTATCAAATTTCCGTAAAATTTAGGGCCAAAACACGAGTAACAAAAAATCAAATCATAACAAAATTTATTTTCATTGTTCGGTTAGCAATAGCTAAGAATTAATTGTGACGTCAACCTAAATTTAAAAAAACTGAAAATATGTTTTTGAATTAGATTATTTACGATTTTTACATCGTTCCTTAAATTCGATTTACACATCAATCTCATACGAAATCCATAGAAAGCTGACGTTTTTAGTGCCAGAAAGCAGGTTTTCATAAGTAAATAATTTAAAATGAAAAATTTTAGTTTTCATCAGAAGTAAAGCGTAAAAGGCAAAGCGCAAAAAGTTTCAGCCATTACTAGAATTGGATTATTACGTTTCACAATTACGATGCAGAATGTAAATGTTGAAGTTTTTGTTTAAATTATTTAATATTCAAAAATGTCTATAATATAATTGATAAAATATGGTCTGAAATGTTGTGCAAACGGTAAAAATTAGCAGCGCATGCCTGCATGAGCTTGCGAAGAACATCCTCCCGGTCGTGCTAAGTTGAGGTTAACCAATTTCAAGCGAATCTTTTTCCAGCAAACTCTTTAAATGCTGGAATTTGCAGACCATGCATCGGAATCATTATACTACTGTTTTTAACAGTTGGAAAGAAAAGTGACGGACCGTGTCCCTTCTACCAAAACATGCCTATAAACAATTCCAAAATATCTATAAATTAGCAAATACATGAGCTGAGCCTTGCAACTGCACCAGCATAGACCCTCGGGTTAAGACCACGGTTGAAACTAGCCTCAACACTTGGGTTCATACTTTTTTTTTAACTAGCGTTAGCACTCGGGTTAAGACTTGCGTTAAATTGATGGAAAAACTGGCTTAAACTTAAACAGCGCCTCAGTAAATCACAGCAAAACTTATGGCCGACTAGGTTAACTTCAATTCAGATCCATTCCAGAAGCAGTCACGGTATTCGAACTGAACACCAAAAAACAACTGTCACGTCAAACCAACCTGTGTCAGAGGCCCACGACTGCGCCTGGTGCGTACGGTCCACACAAGACGTACTTGCACCCATTGCTTGCCGTTATCGCCTCTCTCGCTTGTACGTACGTGTGCTGCTGCACTGCACTCATCCGCTGAAGCGGATATACGCAGTGCATACACTGAGCCACACTTGCTCTCTCGTTCCTCTCTCGCAGTATCCTCCGAATTGATCAAGCAGTGACCTTTATCATCCGTTTAATTTCTTGAAACTGAGCTTTTAGTAGCATCAGCAGTATCAGGAGTTGAAAGAAATCATCTTTGAAGTACTTAAACTGTAAAATTAGCTTCGAAAGTTTTACCCAGAAAGTGACCTTTAGGGGCAAACCTCTTAAGTTTTTATCGAAAAAGTGACCTTTAAAACGAACTTGATCGAAATCTACCAACTGAAAAGTAACCTTGAAGGATTTGAACAATTATATTATAACGTGTGTGTGAGAAAAATTGACAGGTACGTCTAAGTTATCCGATCAACAATGGATAAAGACATCATCGAACCAACATTTAACAGTAGTCAGGGAAGCCGAGGCTCCCGCATATCACAGCAAGGCGCATCAATCCGTACAAAAAGAACCTGCACTCATACACACGTCCAGTGGGAAATGATAGGAGCACTCGAGCACCCAAAGCTCTCGTGAAGCAAGACTCGCGAGGCTCTGACCAGAAGGCACTCGAGGCGGTGTCAGCTCAAGAGCTCCAGCGATGATCAGAAGCGCACTCCCGCGCCTACAGCGGGAAGTAGCGAGGTGAACCAACCGGAGGTCACCAAAGAAGGAACATCTGATCAGCAACAGAAACGGAAACGACAGTACATAAGGATGCGGAAGTCAGCCCTGCTAAAACTGAGCAGGATAAGAACGTTAGTCTGACTAAAGCGGATATTGATGAGAAGCTAAAGGTCACGGAGATGGAATTCAATGAACTGAAGTTGAACGATCTCCCAATTGGTGAAGAGGATTTCTTTGAGAGCCCGATGGCTTATGATGAAATGATGGGTGATCAAAAGTTCAATCGCGCCAACGAATCTTACTTCACCGACGACGACCTGACCATGAACATGTCATTCCGAACAGCGATGAAGGAAGCCGATCAAGCACAGGAATTGACACCGTTTAAAGACATCCTCGAAAGTCTAATTGAACGTAATCGACAGGGAAGATCGTCAATGTTCGATCTCCATCTCCGAACAGCCCCACCTCAAATCTGAAGAGACAGATCAAAGAATCGGGAGCGTCACTGGAGGAAAAAGAATGTCAGATCCTCCAGAAGAAACAAGAGTACCAGAACAGGTTGGACTCGCTCCAGACGCGCGTATACGAGATGGTGCAACTACAGGATGTTCTGGAGAACACATGAGCTGAATGGAAAATCCGATATGAACGCCAAAAGGAAATTGCGGAAGAATCGCAAAAAGTAGCCGATGACAGAGAACCTGAAGGATATATGGCGGTGAGTGATCTAAACGAGAGCATGTCAGAAGAGACAGCCGAAAGGTCACGGCACTTAGCCGAACTGAAGGATCAGTGTGATGAACTACGTCAAAAGGTCACGGAAGCTGAAACCAACGGAACGAATACACGACCAACCTAGCTGAAGTGACAAAACGTCTAACGTCGGTCACAACAGAGGTGTTCAAGCTCAGGAAGGACCTGAAGTTTCGAGACGAAAACATCGAAACCCTCCAAACGGAATCGAAGGATCATCTGAAAAGAGCATACGAAGTCGTCAAAGTGGCACAGGATCTGAGAGACCTTGTAGCCCTTGAAGGTGAACGGCTGAAAGAGGAAATAAAAAAGGTCACCGAAGAGAACAGGGAGCTCATGTAAACTGGTCAAAAAGCAGCTGAACAAGGTCTGAGGTTGGAGCAGGAAGTACTCCGCCTGGACACAGTGGTCAC